GAACTGAACTAGAACTGAACGAGAACTGAACTAGAACTGAACTATAACTGAACTATAACTGAACTAGAACTGAACTAGAAATGAACTAGAACTGAACTAGAACTGAAATAGAACTGAACTAGAACTTTGTACAAATTGTTTAAGTAACTTTTAAGTTAAATTTCCTCACAATTTATATTTACAGTAAAATAGAATTATCTTTATTTGACAAGTATAAATCTGTCATAAACATAGATGTAGGGTAGTTACCATTTATCGCAACCACTTAAAATACTCGTTTGTTTTTCATCTTTTTTTATGATTATTATATTCTGTCTTCTACATTCAATACAAAATATCTTGTCTGCCCTTAAAATCACATCCAGTTATAGTCACTTTTATTGGTTGTTAACATACAACACTACACCCGACACAAACATAGCGTTTGCTAGAGATTTGTATGCGACGACTACCGAGTATATCTTTCGATAGTATGTAGATGAGGAAGGACGACAGTGATGTTGATGACGTTGAGTAGGAAAATGGCGCTGATGTTAACACAGGATTGGAGGATGATGTTTGTAAGGTTACCTTCATTCTTAGCTACTGCTGCCAGAGCCACCTACTTGTACATACTTTGCAATCACAAACCCAATACAACATGTCTCAATTTCCTTTCGGTATCTTCGGGCATTGAAGCAGAAACAACATGTTTCACTTAGAGAACATATTATTGAACATGTTCTCCAGCCATATATTGAGTTTTTTCATATCAAGAAGTATATTTATTGTGTGTTTGTATCTGTGGTTATTTCGAAATTGTGAAAGAAAGTTTAAAGGCGGCAGAAGGCAGTCATTGTAGTTAAAACGTTTGTTTTTTGCATTTATAACAAACCATTGAGGTGTATACAACGTTGCTACTTAAATTAATGATGAGGGTCGAACGGTCGGTTATATTCCAATTTGCGCTCTGCTTTTCTCTTTGAATAAATAGTTTGACAAAATAAATTTAAATACAAATTGATAAAACAAGGAAACAGGAAGTTGTAACTTAAATGCAACAAAAAATAGATAAAAAGACAAACTGTTAAACAAATCAAGAATAGAAATAAAGGGAAATAGTGTAAAATTAAAAAAGGAAATAATGGTAAATATTTGTAAGTCAAATTGCTTTGTGTACTCCTAAGGAAAATTGTGTTAATTTGTGAAAAATGTAAAGACAACTGTGTGTAAAGACAAAATCTTTTTTAAAACACTTTCCTTTATTTAGTTTTTGCAACAATTTAAGTTTTGAGTTTTATTTTTCTCAATGCCAACAAGTTTTCTGATATTTTGTTTATAATTTATTTTAAAATAAATATTTTTTTTTTTTTTGTATATTTAGTTCATGTAAAACCGCTTTTTTGTGTGTTATAACACAACATCTTGTTTTTCTTAATTTTATAATCATTTTATACTAAACTAAACAGCCAGATTGTGTTATATATTTAATTCGATTTCTTTTTGGCAATTGTTGTTAAATATTTGTGTAATTTTCATTTAAACTTTTTCTTTTTTATTATATGCACACCCACACCCCCTCAAACCCCTTTTGCTTTTATAACCACTTTCAGCAGCCAATGTTGAAAAAGGTTTTTTAAAAAACATCTGTAGCAATGAGAACGACAAAATCTCTTCTATAAACATCGAACCTTATTATAAAAACGTGTTCGTACTAATAAATTTTATTGTTCATTTATAAAATTTGTTTTTTATTATATAAAAAACAAACAAATTTTTTGTTTTATTAGAAAAAAAAATCACAAAATATGCAATAATTAAAACAATAACTTGTTTAGAACTTTTCATAAACAAAAAAAACGCACACATTTTTTGAAAATTTCATAATTAGAAACTGTAAACAAAAAAATTATAATTAAATCCCTCAATAATGATTGTATTTTATATATTCCAGCTAATTACAGTTTTTAATGCTTCAAAATTTTAAATAATTTACTTGTTTACAAATTCAAATTGAAATATAATGGAAAAGTTTAATGAGTTTGAAATGTTGGAAAGACTTTTTTCAAAATGTTTTTGGGGAAAACTTTAATTTTTGGTGAATAATTGATTTGTTTAGTAAAAATTAAATTTTTTTGAAATTCGAATTTTTGGTGAGAAATTAAATGTTTGATAAAAAATCCAATTTTTGAAAATTTAAAAATTCGGTGAACTAGAACTAAAGTAGAAATGACTAGATCTAGAACTAACTAGAACTGAACTAGAACTGAACTAGAACTGAACTAGAACTGAACTAGAACTGAACTAGAACTGTACGAGAATGAACTAGAACTGAACTAGAACTGAACTAGAACTGACTAGAACTGTACTAGAACTGAACTAGAACTGAACTAAACTGACTAGAACTGACTAGAACTGAACTAGAACTGAACTAGAACTGAACTAGAACTGAACTAGAACTGAACTAGAACTGAACTAGAACTGAACTAGAACTGAAGCTAGAACTGACGAGACTGAACTAACGAACTAGAACTGAACTAGAACTGACACTAGAACTGAACTAGAACTGAACTAGAACTGAACTAGAACTGAACTAGAACTGAACTAGAACTGAACTAGAACTGCTAGACTAGAGCTGAACTAGAACTGAACTAGAACTGAACTAGAACTTGAACTAGAACTGAACTAGAACTAGAACTGAACTAGGAACTGAACTAGAACTGAACTAGAACTGAACTAGAACTGAACTAGAACTGAACTAGAACTGAACTAGAACTAGAACTAGAACTGGAACTAGAACTGAACTAGAACTGAACTAGAACTGAACTAGAACTGAACTAGAACTGAACTAGAACTACTGAACTACTGAACTGAACTAGAACTGAACTAGAACTGAACTAGAAACTGAACTAGAACTGAACTAGAACTGAACTAGAACTGAACTAGAACTGAACTAGAACAGAACTAGGAACTGAACTAGAACTGAACTAGAACTGAACTAGAACTGAACTAGAACTGAACTAGAACTGAACTAGAACGAACTAGAACTGAACTAGAACTGACTAGAACTGAACTAGAACTGAACTAGAACTGAACTAGAACTGAACTAGAACTGAACTAGAACTGAACTAGAACGGAACTAGAACTGACTAGAACTGAACTAGAACTGAACTAGAACTGAACTAGAACTGAACTAGAACTGAACTAGAACTGAACTAGAACTGAACTAGAACTGAACTAGAACTGAACTAGAACTGAACTAACTGGAAATTGAACTGAACTAGAAGAACGGAACTAGAATGAACTAGAACTGAACTAGAACTGAACTAGAACTGAACGAGAACTGAACTAGAACTGAACTAGAACTGAACTAGAAACTGAACTAGAACTGACTAGAACTGAACTAGAACTGAACTAGAACTGAACTAGAACTGAACTAGAACTGAACTAGAACTGAACTAGAAACTGAACTAGAACTGAACTAGAAACTGAACTAGAACTGAACTGAACTGAACTAGAACTGAACTAGAACTGAACTAGAACTGAACTAGAACTGAACTAGAACTGAACTAGAACTGAACTAGAACGGAACTAGAACTGAACTAGAACTGAACTAGAACTGAACTAGAACTGAACTAAACGAACTAGAACTGAACTAGAACTGAACTAGAACTGAACTAGAACTGAACTAGAACTGAACTAGAACGAAACTAGAACTGAACTAGAACTGAACTAGAACTGAACTAGAACTGAACTAGAACTGAACTAGAACTGACTAGAACTGAACTAGAACTGAACTAAACTGACTAGAACTAAGAACTGAAACTAGAACTGAACTAGAACTGAACTAGAACTGAACTTAGAACTGAAACTAGAACTGAACTAAGAAAACTGAACTAGAACTTGAACTAGAACTGAACTAGAACTGAACTAGAACTGACTAACACTGAACTACAACTGAACTACAACTGACGACAACTGAACTACAACTGAACTACAACTGAACTACAACTGAACTAGAACTGAACTAGAACGAACGAACAACTGAACTAGAAACTGAACTAGAAACTGAAGCTAGGACTGAACTAGAACTGAAACTAGAACTGAACTAGAACTGAACTAGAACTGAACTCGAACTGACGAGAACTAGAACAACTGAACTAGAACTGAACTAGAAACTGAACTAGAACTGAACTAGAACTGAACTAGAACTGAACTAGAACTGAACTAGAACTGAACTAGAACTGAACTAAGAACTGAACTAGAACTGAACTAGACTGACTAGAACTAAACTAGAACTGAACTAGAACTGAATTTTCAATTTCCTTAAAACATTGTACATACATACATACATACATACATACTAATTTTTTAAATATGACAAGACTATAGACTGATCTATAGGCAAGACTGTAGATTGTTCTCTCAAGAAAACTTTACACTGATCTATCGTCAGGAATATAGATAGATAGTTAGATCGATAGACAATTTTGCATAATTTCTATTATAAAGTGTTTATAGCAGCTGTTTAAATAAAGTTTATAAATTGCACATTTTGTTAACATCTATTTTTAGCTTAATATTATCATAAGAAAACACAAATGACCAAATTGTGTAGAAATAAAAACAAACACGATTTTATTTAAACTTTAAAATTAAAAGTTGTAAAAATTGAATGCATATGACTAAATGATATTGATTAATTTATTTAATGATTCAACTTTCCTATACCATTTAATGCTTAAAAGTGCAAAAAAATATTCTATAGAGAAATAAATATTTAAAAATAGCTAAAAGAATTAATACCAAACGTATAAAATGCAAAACAAAAACATTGACATTTGAAAGTAAAATTTATGTAATTTGTTTGTATTTTGTCCCCTTTCCAACCCACCAACTCTTGGAAGTGTTTAAATAGAAATGTTTTGTTTAATTTTTGTAAAAGAAAAGAATAACATTTAAATACATATGTATGTATGTATATTTATTTAAATATATATTTGCATTCTTTCTAATTACAGAGGAGAACAACAACAACAAGGAATATATATTCAGTTTGCAAATAAACAACAACTGAGAAAAGAAAATAAAGCAAACATAAACAAACAGCAAATAAAAACAACCTTAACTAAAAGAGGGCAACAACAAGAAGGAGAAGAAATATAAGAAAAAAAAAATTAAAGAGTATTATACTAATGTAAACATTAAAATACAAAAAAGCTCTTGAAATACGTTAAATATACTAATCAACAACAAAACAACAATACTATTATATTTTTGTTTGTTTTTGTTTTGGAAGAGCTAAACGTGAATGTAAAAAAGGCTATTTACTATTAATGCTGATATAATTTTAACTAGCAATAAAAGCAACAACCATATGCTAAATTTGTTTTAAAAAAACAACAGCAACATAAAGTATGTATTTAACCAAAAACCTGTCAACATAATAACAAAAAAACCAACAAAAGAATTCCTTTGACAGAAGTGGTAAATCTACATAAGCCATCAAAATCAGCATAAAAGAACAATAACAACAACAAACAACTTATTAGTTCTATAATATAAAATAGCCAAGTCTATAAACAGCAGAAAATAAAACGATAAAACTTATTATACACTTGAAATTTAAAACTATCACAACAGCAATTATAACAACAACAGCAACAAAATTAACTAACAAATATCAGAAGAAGGTGTTGTAGTTGTTGTATGTTGGAAGAATTTCATTTTCGCGTGCTCTCATTAGTGCATCATCTACTAATTTGTTTGATTGTTAAATAATTATTACCCCCTACACGTTCGTCCGTCACACTGTCTTATACAGCGCGCTCGACGTTAGTGTCTCTCTGCTACTAAAATTTTATTCTTCTTTTACAGCAGAAAATTGAAGACCCCCAAAAAAAAGCTATAATACGCTTAAAGAATTAAAATTAACTACAAAATACGTTCTATATTGGAAATTAGAGAATAAACACTAGAGAATACGATAAATTGAAAGTTTGTTTGAACGACGAAGAAAATCTACAAGAAATCAAAGAAACACACACACACAGAAAACATAAATATTTTATTTTTTCAAAACGGTTATTTTTATAAATTGAAAAAATTACAAATTTCAAAATGAAGCGTCGTAATGCCGATTGCGGCAAACTACGGAGACCTATAAAACGTAACAAAATAACGGAAAGCATGTATGGCAGGTGAGTTTTGAAACAGTTGTAATAAAATGCAACAATAATAATTTCAATAATCAAACTATACACTAAGCTATAGACTAGACTACAGACTAGACTATAGACTCGATTATAGATAAGACTATAGACTAGACTGTAGACTAGACTATAGACTAGACTAGACTATAGACTACACTATAGACTATACTATAGACTAGACTATTGACTATACTATAGATTAGGCTATAGACTAGACTATAGACTAGACTATAGACTAGACTATAGACTAGACTATAGACTAGACTATAGACTAGACTATAGACTAGACTATAGACTAGACTATAGACTAGACTATAGACTAGACTATAGACTAGACTATAGACTAGACTATAGACTAGACTATAGACTAGACTATAGACTAGACTATAGACTAGACTATAGACTAGACTATAGACTAGACTATAGACTAGACTATAGACTAGACTATAGACTAGACTATAGACTAGACTATAGACTAGACTATAGACTAGACTATAGACTAGACTATAGAGCTAGACTAGACTAGATAGACTATGACTAGACTATAGACTAGACTATAGACTAGGACTATAGACTAGACTATAGACTAGACTATAGACTAGCCTACAGACTAGACTATTGACTAGGCTATAGACTAGACTATAGACTAGACTATAGACTAGACTATAGACTAGACTATAGACTAGACTATAGACTAGACTATAGACTAGACTATAGACTAGACTATAGACTAGACTATAGACTAGACTATAGACTAGACTATAGACTAGACTATAGACTAGACTACAGACTAGACTATTGACTAGGCTATAGACTAGACTATAGACTAGACTATAGACTAGACTAGACTAGACTATAGACTAGACTAGACTATAGACTAGACTATAGACTAGACTAGACTAGACTATAGACTAGACTAGACTATAGACTAGACTAGACTATAGACTACTAGACTATAGACTAGACTAGACTATAGACTAGACTATATAGACTAGACTAGACTATAGACTAGACTAGACTATAGACTAGACTAGACTATAGACTAGGCTATAGACTAGACTATAGACTAGACTATGGACTAGACTATAGACTAGACTATTGACTAGGCTATAGACTAGGCTATAGACTAGACTATAACTAGACTGACTAGACTAGGCTACAGACTAGACTATAGACTAGACTATAGACTAGACTTAGACTAGACTATAGACTAGACTGTAGACTAGACTATATACTAGACTATAGACTAGACTATAGACTAGACTATAGATTAGACTATAGACTAGACTAGACTATAGACTAGACTAGACTATAGACTAGACTATAGACTAGACTATAGACTAGACTATAGACTAGACTATAGACTAGACTAGACTATAGACTAGACTATAGATTAGACTATAGATTAGACTATAGACTAGACTATAGACTAGACTAGACTATAGACTAGACTATAGACTAGACTAGACTAGACTATAGACTAGACTATAGACTAGACTATAGACTAGACTATAGACTAGACTATAGACTAGACTATAGACTAGACTATAGACTAGACTATAGACTAGACTATAGACTAGACTATAGACTAGACTATAGACTAGACTATAGACTAGACTATAGACTAGACTATAGACTAGACTATAGACTAGACTATAGACTAGACTATAGACTAGACTATAGACTAGACTATAGACTAGACTATAGACTAGACTATAGACTAGACTATAGACTAGACTATGGACTAGACTATAGACTAGACTATAGACTAGACTATAGACTAGACTATAGACTAGACTATAGACTAGACTATAGACTAGACTATAGACTAGACTATAGACTAGACTATAGACTAGACTATAGACTAGACTATAGACTAGACTATAGACTAGACTATAGACTAGACTATAGACTAGACTATTGACTAGGCTATAGACTAGGCTATAGACTAGACTATAGACTAGACTAGACTATAGACTAGGCTACAGACTAGACTATAGACTAGACTATAGACTAGACTATAGACTAGACTATAGACTAGACTGTAGACTAGACTATACTAGACTATAGACTAGACTATAGACTAGACTATAGATTAGACTATAGACTAGACTAGACTATAGACTAGACTAGACTATAGACTAGACTATAGACTAGACTATAGACTAGACTATAGACTAGACTATAGACTAGACTAGACTATAGACTAGACTATAGATTAGACTATAGATTAGACTATAGACTAGACTATAGACTAGACTAGACTATAGACTAGACTATAGACTAGACTAGACTAGACTATAGACTAGACTATAGACTAGACTATAGACTAGACTATAGACTAGACTATAGACTAGACTATAGACTAGACTATAGACTAGACTATAGACTAGACTATAGACTAGACTATAGACTAGACTATAGACTAGACTATAGACTAGACTATAGACTAGACTATAGACTAGACTATAGACTAGACTATAGACTAGACTATAGACTAGACTATGGACTAGACTATAGACTAGACTATAGACTAGACTATAGACTAGACTATAGACTAGACTATAGACTAGACTATAGACTAGACTATAGACTAGACTATAGACTAGACTATAGACTAGACTATAGACTAGACTATAGACTAGACTATAGACTAGACTATAGACTAGACTATAGACTAGACTATAGACTAGACTATTGACTAGGCTATAGACTAGGCTATAGACTAGACTATAGACTAGACTAGACTATAGACTAGGCTACAGACTAGACTATAGACTAGACTATAGACTAGACTATAGACTAGACTATAGACTAGACTGTAGACTAGACTATATACTAGACTATAGACTAGACTATAGACTAGACTATAGATTAGACTATAGACTAGACTAGACTATAGACTAGACTAGACTATAGACTAGACTATAGACTAGACTATAGACTAGACTATAGACTAGACTATAGACTAGACTAGACTATAGACTAGACTATAGATTAGACTATAGATTAGACTATAGACTAGACTATAGACTAGACTAGACTATAGACTAGACTATAGACTAGACTAGACTAGACTATAGACTAGACTATAGACTAGACTATAGACTAGACTATAGACTAGACTATAGACTAGACTATAGACTAGACTATAGACTAGACTATAGACTAGACTATAGACTAGACTATAGACTAGACTATAGACTAGACTATAGACTAGACTATAGACTAGACTATAGACTAGACTATAGACTAGACTATAGACTAGACTATAGACTAGACTATAGACTAGACTATAGACTAGACTATAGACTAGACTATAGACTAGACTATAGACTAGACTATGGACTAGACTATAGACTAGACTATAGACTAGACTATAGACTAGACTATAGACTAGACTATAGACTAGACTATAGACTAGACTATAGACTAGACTATAGACTAGACTATAGACTAGACTATAGACTAGACTATAGACTAGACTATAGACTAGACTATAGACTAGACTAGACTATAGACTAGACTATAGACTAGACTATAGACTAGACTATAGACTAGACTATAGACTAGACTATAGACTAGACTATAGACTAGACTATAGACTAGACTATAGACTGGACTATAGACTAGACTATAGACTAGACTATAGACTAGACTATAGACTAGACTATAGACTAGACTATAGACTAGACTATAGACTAGACTATAGACTAGACTATAGACTAGACTATAGACTAGACTATAGACTATAGACTAGACTATAGACTAGACTATAGACTAGACTATAGACTAGACTATAGACTAGACTATAGACTAGACTATAGACTAGACTATAGACTAGACTATAGACTAGACTATAGACTATAGACTAGACTATAGACTAGACTATAGACTAGACTATAGACTATAGACTAGACTATAGACTAGACTATAGACTAGACTATAGACTAGACTATAGACTAGACTATAGACTAGACTATAGACTAGACTATAGACTAGACTATAGACTAGACTATAGACTAGACTATAGACTAGACTATAGACTAGACTATAGACTAGACTATAGACTAGACTATAGACTAGACTATAGACTAGACTATAGACTAGACTAAGACTAGACTATAGACTAGACTATAGGACTAGACTATAGACTAGACTATAGACTAGACTATAGACTAGACTATAGACTAGACTATAGACTAGACTATAGACTAGACTATAGACTAGACTATAGACTAGACTATAGACTAGACTATAGACTAGACTATAGACTGGACTATAGACTAGACTATAGACTGACTATAGACTAGACTATAGACTAGACTATGGACTAGACTAGACTATAGACTAGACTATAGACTAGACTACAGACTAGACTATAGACTAGACTATAGACTAGACTATAGACTAGACTATAGACTAGACTATGGACTAGACTAGACTATAGACTAGACTATAGACTAGACTACAGACTAGACATAGACTAGACTACAGACTAGACTATAGACTAGACTAGACTATAGACTAGACTATAGACTAGACTATAGACTAGACTATAGGACTAGACTATAGACTAGACTATGGACTAGACTATAGACTAGACTGTAGACTAGACTATAGACTAGACTATAGACTGGACTATAGACTAAGACTATAGACTAGACTATAGACTGGACTATAGACTGGACTATAGATTAGACTATAGACTAGACTATAGACTAGACTATAGACTAGACTATAGACTAGACTATAGACTGACTATAGACTGACATAGACTAGAATAGACTAGACTATAGACTAGACTATAGACTAGACTATAGACTAGACTATAGACTAGACTATAACTAGGATATAGACTAGACTATAGACTAGAACTATAGACTAGACTATAGACTAGACTATAGACTAGACTATAGACTAGACTATAGACTAGACTATAGACTAGACTATAGACTAGACTAGACTTAGACTAGACTATAGACTAGACTATAGACTAGACTATAGACTAGACTATAGACTAGACTATAGACTAGACTATAGACTAGACTATAGACTAGACTATAGACTAGACTATAGACTAGACTATAGACTAGACTATAGACTAGACTATAGACTAGACTATAGACTAGACATAGACTAGACTATAGACTAGACTATAGACTAGACTATAGACTAGACTATAGACTAGACTATAGACTAGACTATAGACTAGACTATAGACTAGACTATAGACTAGACTATAGACTAGACTATAGACTAGTCTATAGACTAGACTCTAGACTAGACTATAGACTAGTCTATAGACTAGATTATAGACTAGACTATAGACTAGACTATATACTAGACTATAGACAAAACTGTAGTATTAACTAGACAATAAACTAAACTATAGACTGGACTGCAGACTAACCATACACTAGACTATAGACTAGCCTATAGTCTATATTATAGACTAGATTATATGCTAGACTATAAAAAAAACTTTAAAATATATATTCGGTTACTAAATAAATTTAACTTTTATTTACTTAAATCGTTACTACTTATTCACACCTTATCAATTTTGATATACAAAAGGAAAAATATGTAGCAAGTATCATTATATTAATTAGTTTTATATTATAACCTATTTAAAGAACAATTATTATTCGATCATCTCTCAGGTAATAAAATAGTAAAGAATTTCTGTTCCGTTTTGTACTTTGTTACTGAATCTTAAATTTTATAACAATTTTATGATTGATGACACGAGCAGAATTTAGCTTATCTTAAAAATGCTGCTGTATAAAATATGTAGTTGAATTAACTTTATAAACAAAATTAACAGTGAGTGCTAAAAGAAAGTTTTTAAAGGGAACAACAAGATATATTGTTATAGAATATCTAAGATATGCAGCGGTCGACTAGTCCTTAGTCTAGATTATAAACTAGTCTATAGTCTCAACCATAGTTTAGTCTGTACTTATAACTATAGTTTAGGTTGTTGTAGTCTAGTCTATAGTCTTTCATATAATCATGAATTGAATTTCTTTATTGATCTCAAAAAGATACATTTGTTTTATCCATAAAAACAGCTAAATCTATTTTTAATTGTTAATAAATCTTATTTTATTTATTACCACATTAAAACCCACTAAATTTGATACTTAGTCAACAGAAAACGTGCATTATTTAAACACTTTAATGTATTGACTTTATACTTTTTGTTTTTGTTTGTATATTTATTAAACAAAAGACTGTTATTAACTAACTTATAGCGGTGGCCTTACATTCATTTAAATAACCATTAAATATTTACCTAAAGTAAACAAATTAGTGCGCAACTAAAAGATTGATGCGCGACAAACAGTGACAAACTAAAAGCAAAACCAACACACAATATAACAATAATGAAAATATTACATTATTTAATATGATTCCTTTTTCTTCTAATTACAGCACAACCGTATTGTATATGAAATTTTTGGTACTATGGGCAATTGTGATAACTGCAGATTTTATGTTTATGTTCCGTTTTGAATTTTTATGGCCCTTCTGGTTACTACTGCGCTCCGTACATGATTCTTTTAAATATAAAGGATTGGTATGTTGTAACTTTTGCACATTTTGCTCTTTTTTTATATTTCAAATTATTTTTTTTACAGGCATTTTCGGTATTGTTTGTTTGTATTGCTATAACATCCGATTTGGTTTGTTTATTCTTTATACCAGTTAATTGGTTATTATTTGCTGCCAGCACATATGTTTGGGTACAATATGTTTGGCATACAGGTAAATGAAATTCAAATTTATCTTTGAATTTGTTTTTAAATTGTATTTTGTTTTATTTATATTTTTGATAGATAAAGGCATTTGCTTGCCCACCATCATATTGTGGATGTTATTTGTATATTTAGAGGCTGGTATAAGATGGAAGGATAGCAGACATATGCCACATTTAGATTTATGTAGGCCGTTTGCAGCACATTGGTGAGTATATAAATAAAAGTTGTTACAACAACAAGAACTGAACTTGAACTAAAATAGAACTGAACTAGAACTGAACTAGAACTGAACTAGAACTGAACTAGATCTGAACTAGAACTGAACTAGAACTGAACTAGAACTGAACTAGAACTGAACTAGAACTGAACTAGAACTGAACTAGAACTGAACTAGAACTGAACTAGAACTGAACTACAACTGAAATAGAACTGAACTAGAACTGAACTAGAACTGAACTAGAACTGAACTAGAACTGAACTAGAACTGAACTAGAACTGAACTAGAACTGAACTAGAACTGAACTAGAACTGAACTAGAACTGAACTAGAACTGAACTAGAACTGAACTAGAACTGAACTAGAACTGAACTAGAACTGAACTAGAACTGAACAAGAACTGAACTAGAACTAAAACTGGACTACAACTGAAATAGAACTGAACTAGAACTGAACTAGAACTGAACTAGAACTGAACTAGAACTGAACTAGAACTGAACTAGAACTGAACTAGAACTGAACTAGAACTGAACTAGAACTGATCTAGAACTGAACTAGAACTGAACTAGAACTGAACTATAACTGAACTAGAACTGAACTAGAACTGAACTAGAACTGAACTAGAACTGAACTAGAACTGAACTAGAACTGAACTAGAACTGAACTAAGAACTGAACTAGAACTGAACTAGAACTGAACTAGAACTGAACTAGAACTGAACTAGAACTGAACTAGAACTGAACTAGAACTGAACTAGAACTGAACTAAAACTCAACTAGAACTCAACTAGAACTGAACTAGAACTGAACTAGAACTGAACTAGAACTAGAACTGAACTAGAACTGAACTAGAACTGAACTAGAACTGAACTAGAACTGAACTAGAACTGAACTAGAACTGAACTAGAACTGAACTAGAACTGAACTAGAACTGAACTAGAACTGAACTAGAACTAAACTAGAAATGAACTAGAACTGAACGAGAAATGAACTAGAACTGAAGTAAAACTAAACTGAACTAGAACTAACCTAAAACTGAACTGGACATGAAAAAAAGAACAACTTTATTTTTCAAGGATATTACTAAATGTTCATTTACATTTCTTTGTTTCCCTACATTATCCTTGGATGTCTCTAAATATAATTTTAGCATTGGCTACCCAGTGGTAACATTAGGTTTTGGCTTCAAAAGCTATGTTGGCTATCGTATGCGACAACGTAAACAACGGGAGGTCTCAAAAGAAAATGAATTTTATATGCAACTATTGCAACAAGCACTGCCACAAGAAGAACCCGCACCGTCTGAAGACACTCAAACTGTGGTGGCCACAAATGCTTCCAATACTACAAATGCCGTTGCTGCTGTAGTAGCAGGTCATGGTACAGGCAGTGGTGCTGCACAAAATCAACATAATCATCATAATGGAAATACAACGTTAGCAACAGGAGCTTCTTTAACCGCAGCTCATACACAAATATCCAATTCTATAGCTACAGCAAATGGTTCTGTGGCCTTAACACAAAATCAACAACAACAGCTGCAGCAACAACAACATCATCATCAGCATAATCACCATCAACAGCAGGAGCAGCATCATCACAGTAATAATCACAATGGTAACAGTTTTACAACAACAAATGGTACCGCTTCAATGGCATCATCTGCTACTCTAACGGGTGTTGCCAACAACTCAAATTCCTCCTCCTCCTCTAATACTACTTTCTCCTCTACTTCTAATAATAACAATAATAATAACAATACAACATCTTCTACGTCAGCCTCATATTTATCTACTACGCTAACAACAGCATCATCAACGTCATCGTCTAATGATGATAAAAGCTATGTACAAATTGGTGGCGGTAGTGGTGGTAATTTTATATGTATTATATGCTTTTTTTAAACCAAAAATTCGCTTTTTTATTTTTTATTTTACAATAATTATATTTTAATATTCATGTAAATATCAAATTTATGTAGTATTATTTGCCAAAAAGATATATGTATTTATGGAAAATATTTAAAAAACGGTTTAATTCCTGCTTATAATTTTCGTCATTTCAATGTAAATATTTTACAGCTTATATAATAACATTAAAGGCATGCATTTTATTTTTTTGATAATGTAGTTTATTTTATCAGTTGTTTTGGTTTTCATAAAATCAATATTAAAAAAATAAATATCTGTTTCCTCTCACTTTTCACAGTCTCATCAAATGGTCATATCGGCGGTGGCAGCAGTGGAGGCGGTAAAAACCATCGACGTAGTATGGATAAAGAAAATAAACACAAAGGTAGTTCATCGTCAAATCATAATAATTTAGCTGCTGGTGGTGCTGGTGATAATGAAAGTCAAACAAAAACCAATAACAAAAACAACAACTATCATCAATTGAATCAGGGCAATGAAAGCAATACACATCATCAGCAGCACCAACAAAATCATAATAATAACAATAATAAGGATAAATCATCTGAATGGGATAATAATTATCATCAGCAACAGCAGCAACCAAAAGATAAACATGGTGAGTGAAAGAATCACAAATTGGACAGAAGCTTGTGAAAAGTTTTTTAAATAAATTTCTCAAAATCTGAATCAAGTTCAATTCTAGTTCAGTTCTAGTTAAGTTCTAGTTAAGTTCTAGTTAAGTTCTAGTTAAGTTCTAGTTAAGTTCTAGTTAAGTTCTAGTTAAGTTCTAGTAAGTTCTAGTTCAGTTCTAGTTTAGTTTTAGTTCAGTTCTAGTTAAGTTCTAGTTCAGTTCTAGTTCAGTTCTAGTTCAGTTCTAGTTAAGTTCTAGTTCAGTTCTAGTTCAGTTCTAGTTCAGTTCTAGTTCAGTTATAGTTCAGTTCTAGTTCAGTTCTAGTTCAGTTCTAGTTCAGTTCTAGTTCAGTTCCAGTTCAGTTCTAGTTCAGTTCTAGTTCAGTTCTAGTTCAGTTCTAGTTCAGTTTTAGATCAGTTCTAGTTCAGTTCTAGTTCAGTTCTAGTTCAGTTCTAGTTCAGTTCTAGTTCAGTTCTAGTTCAGTTCTAGTTCAGTTCTAGTTCAGTTCTAGTTCAGTTCTAGTTCAGTTCTAGTTCAGTTCTAGTTCAGTTCTAGTTCAGTTCTAGTTCAGTTCTAGTTCAGTTCTAGTTCAGTTCTAGTTCAGTTCTAGTTCAGTTCTAGTTCAGTTCTAGTTCAGTTCTAGTTCAGTTCTAGTTCAGTTCTAGTTCAGTTCTAGTTCAGTTCTAGTTCAGTTCTAGTTCAGTTCTAGTTCAGTTCTAGTTCAGTTCTAGTTCAGTTCTAGTTCAGTTCTAGTTCAGTTCTAGTTCAGTTCTAGTTCAGTTCTAGTTCAGTTCTAGTTCAGTTCTAGTTCAGTTCTAGTTCAGTTCTAGTTCAGTTCTAGTTCAGTTCTAGTTCAGTTCTAGTTCAGTTCTAGTTCAGTTCTAGTTCAGTTCTAGTTCAGTTCTAGTTCAGTTCTAGTTCAGTTCTAGTTCAGTTCTAGTTCAGTTCTAGTTCAGTTCTAGTTCAGTTCTAGTTCAGTTCTAGTTCAGTTCTAGTTCAGTTCTAGTTCAGTTCTAGTTCAGTTCTAGTTCAGTTCTAGTTCAGTTCTAGTTCAGTTCTAGTTCAGTTCTAGTTCAGTTCTAGTTCAGTTCTAGTTCAGTTCTAGTTCAGTTCTAGTTCAGTTCTAGTTCAGTTCTAGTTCAGTTCTAGTTCAGTTCTAGTTCAGTTCTAGTTCTAGTTCAGTTCTAGTTCAGTTCTAGTTCAGTTCTAGTTCAGTTCTAGTTCAGTTCTAGTTCAGTTCTAGTTCAGTTCTAGTTCAGTTCTAGTTCAGTTCTAGTTCAGTTCTAGTTCAGTTCTAGTTCAGTTCTAGTTCAGTTCTAGTTCAGTTCTAGTTCAGTTCTAGTTCAGTTCTAGTTCAGTTCTAGTTCAGTTCTAGTTCAGTTCTAGTTCAGTTCTAGTTCAGTTCTAGTTCAGTTCTAGTTCAGTTCTAGTTCAGTTCTAGTTCTAGTTCAGTTCTAGTTCAGTTCTAGTTCAGTTCTAGTTCAGTTCTAGTTCAGTTCTAGTTCAGTTCTAGTTCAGTTCTAGTTCAGTTCTAGTTCAGTTCTAGTTCAGTTCTAGTTCAGTTCTAGTTCAGTTCTAGTTCAGTTCTAGTTCAGTTCTAGTTCAGTTCTAGTTCAGTTCTAGTTCAGTTCTAGTTCAGTTCTAGTTCAGTTCTAGTTCAGTTCTAGTTCAGTTCTAGTTCAGTTGTAGTTCAGTTCTAGTTCAATTCTAGTTTAGTTCTAGTTAAGTTCTATTTTATAATTAAATTAATTTGTTTATCTTTTCAAGAATCACAATCAAAATCGAATAAAAAGTCGAATACTTCCACAACGTCGTCAGCATATAATGTTAATGGCAATGTTAATTCGCATTTGGATACGGAAGATGTTGTAACAGTGGAACCGGTGGAGAAAACTAAAGGTAAGAAAACTAGTGCTCTTTTACTTTAAATATATTTATTGTTTAAATGAACGTCTTTTATTTAGGACGCCGTAATCGTTCTAAGAAGGATAATGCTTCCAAAGACAATCACCATCATAACCACAACAATAATAATAACAACAACAGCAGTAATAGCAGCAACAACAATAATAATAATCATTCTCATACAAAAGACTCTTCTAACAAAGAGAATCATAACAACACAACTAAGGATACTCATCATAATCATCATCACAATTCCGATGCTTCATCGGTTTCCTCTTCCTCATCAAGTACTTCGTCTTCTTCATCTTCAGGTGTTTCCGGTAATTCGGCCACATCTACCATATCTCATTTAGCTTCTAAGGTTGTCTCAAAGATCTGTGAATCCTGTCTTAAACTGGAAGCCGATGTAAAGAAATATCGCTCGGAAATCAGTCACATGAAACAGATCGAAAACGAGTTGAGACAAAAATTGGACACGAATATGACAACAAAATCCTGTTTGCAGGCCAAACAGAAAGAATGTGATGAACTGGAGAAACGTTTACACGAATTGACCAATGCCCGGCACAATGACATGATGCAATTGCAGACGGTCGAAAGGCGTTTAGCCGAAGAGAGGCGGCAGAAACAGTCATTAGATGCTCAACTCAATAACGAGAAGAAGGCACGTAAATTGGCTGAAGAGAAGGCAGCGCGACCCGAATGCAGTTCACAGTGTAAACAGAGGAAACAACAGATGGAGGAGGAAATTAAACAGCTAAGACGTGATTTAAAAATGGCTGAGGAAGCTAAACAAATGGCCGAACAGCATGGACGGAAATGGGAACAGGAGGTCTGTAGTGTTTTTTGTTATTAATTCAATAAAATCCATAAATTTCTATTAAATTTCATTTAATACTTTCCAGCTGCGTATGTTTGAGCAAGAGATACGTAATCGTGATTCTATACAACCCGGTACTGATGTATTAATGAACGCCTTGGCCGCTATGCAAGACAAGAATTGCACTTTGGAGAAAAATCTCTCGGCAGAGACGAGAGTTAAGCTGGACTTATTCTCAGCTCTGGGGGATGCCAAACGACAATTGGAAATATCAGAAAGTAATTATAGCAAACTGATGTTTTAGTAGGAAATTTCATTTTAATATTCTTTTTCTAAAAGGCCTACGTCGCTCCAAGGAAGATGAGGTGCATGATCTTAAGGCAAAAATTGCCCAACTGTTAGCGGTCATGCCCACTGATACTTTGTGTTTGCCCGCTTGTAGCTCAACCGGTGCCAGTTCTATGTTACGCATGAATGATACACCACCGCTACAAACTGGTCCCGGTCCAGCTTCCCCTATGCTAACCAGCCTTAGTGCAGCTCAAGCCCAACAACAACTAACCGGACGTGTGATTGTCTCAGCCTCAACATCTGATTATGTGCAGCAAACCTTATCCGGGGAATATGTTGTTACCACACACTCTCAACAACAGCAGCAGCAACAACAGCAGCAACAACAACATCAACAACAACAGCAGCAACAACAACAGCATCAACAACAGCAGCAACAACAGCAATGTGCTGGAGTTGTACCCGTTTCAGTGGCCACCTCGGTGTTAGTAACATGTCCTCAAGTTTCTAACGGCGTTGGCAATCCAAACGGTTCCAATTTAGATCCCAATGCCACGGTCTATACACCTAAATCTGGTGGTCCCAACAATAATGGGGGAAATGTTGTCGTTGTCGGTGGCTCCGGAGATGCCTGATGTATATTTAATAAAAATGTCCATCAACATTTACAAAACAGTAGTCGACGTCATGTTTGAGATTATTTTACTAAACAAAAACTAAAACTACTTGGATATAAAAAACCAATAAATAATTTGTAAAATTCTTTAACTGAAATACTCTCTTCCTAAGTGCATCCATCATCGTACACAGCAAAATTTCTTTTGAAAATTATTATTGTCTCGGACTGTGTGAAAAACAAATTTTTCTTCTTTCTTAGCGAACAGAGTATCTCAATATTGAATTAATAGCAAATAATTAAAATACAATTAAAAAATTTAAAAAAAAAACTTTAAAGCAAAAAACAACAAGATGAAATAACAAACAACAAATATCTTATTGAAAAAGTAAAACAAAACACACACAAGAAAATGAAAATAATAAAAAAACACAAATTTGAAAAGAAATGAAATAAAAACTGCATTAAAAAAAAACTAAATAATTGATTCGAAATGTTTTTTGTGGGAGATTTTAAAGAAAAGTTTTGAAATAAGGGGGTAAATTTTGTTAAGTTCGTTATCAAGAACGTTTTCCACAGAAAAGTTCCTTCTCAAGCACTTTTCTCTGTTTTTTTTAAGGCACGTTTCTTTAGAAATGTTTCTGTTAAGACAGTTTTCTAAAGAACTGTATTTTCTCAATGAAAAATTGACATTTTTTAAAGAAAATATTGCTTTCTCTCTTTTAGCAATACTGTTTCCCATATAAAGAATAAATTTCTATAGAAAAGATTCATGACGACGGTTTGGTATAGATGTGTCTTCTCAACTCAGTTTTGGATAGAAAAGTTTCATCCTAAAAGAGTTTATTCTCAAGACAAAGTTTTATAGAAAAGTTTCATGTCAAGTCAGTTTTCTATAGAAAAATATCTTCAAGAAAGTTTTTTTTTTTGTAGAAAAGTTTAATTTAAACAGTTTTCTGTTTAAAATGCTATTCTTAACCGAGTTCTCTATGAAAATGTTCTTCTCCAAGAGTTTTCTATGGATAAGTTCCTTCTTAACACAGTTTCTCATAAAATAGTTTTTCTCAACCAGATTTCTAAAGAAAAGTTTCTTCCTAAAAGTTTCTTTTTAACTAGGTTTGTAAAGAAAAGTTTCGTCTCACGACAGCTTTTTTATAAAAATGTTTATTTTAAAGACAGTTTTTCTATATAGTTTTTCATTAAAAGTTTATTCTCAATACTCATTTTAATCTCTTTATTCGAAACAAACAACAATAATTATTTTTATATAATTTTTAATAAACAAAACCAATCACATTTTTAAATAATATTTAAAAATTTAAAGCTTTTTTATTTTAAATTTCATTAAATTTTTTCTCTCTTAACTAATTTTACACATTTTGTTTGCAACTTTTTCTTTCAGTGTATTTTTTTTTTTCGATAACCACTATACGATAACATTTTGTCATCTTTAGCACATGGCTTGTTGTTATTTTGACATTTGGAAACATTTCTTATATTTTGAGGAAGATTAATTTTCTTTTTAGAAATTTTACGTAAATATTTATGTTTTATTAGTATTTTTTAATAATAAGTAAAAAAATATATACTAAACTATGGCACCATCAATACCGGACAGGTGAGTTTATTAAAAAACCTTTGAAAAGAGCCTATTAAAATCCGGATTTTGTTTAAGGTGGAAGGATTACAAACCCATTGGTGAGAAGATAGAAGGTACAAGATTTATAGCATTTAAGGTGCCACTAAAGGAGGTAAGTATTCGGGAATTGTGTGTAGATTAATTGAAAAATAGGATAAACTATGATTTGTCAATGTGGCATAAACTGTAGGAAAATGTCAATTAGCAGAGTGTGTATGTATTGCATGGAGTTTTTCAAGTATGAGCAAGTATTGTAATGTTGCGAATGTTAACCTCTATGGCTACAACTGAAACTCAACAAATTACTAATAAAGCTGAACAGTTAATTCAGCAATTGTCTGGAGAATAATGCCGTATGTTAGCTTACAACATAATGCTTCGCCAGGGGATTAATGAGGTCAAATTGCCAGAGTGTAATTGTTTCTAGAGTAGAATAGTAAATAAGCAGAGTATTTTAGACAATTGTAATTTTTCGACATTTCTATTACTTAATTATGTTTTCTTTTTATAATTCATTTAATCTTTTTTTTTCCAGCATATTTCAAAAAATGTCAATAGTGACATTCGCCTAGATGGCAATATACTCTTAAAAATGGTTCCGAACTTGGGTCTTATTATAGATTTAACAAATACTAATCGTTATTATGATCCTAAGGTAAGTTTTATTTGTAGATTATGTATTATACAGTAGACTATAGACTACATAGACTAGACTATGAACTAGATTACAAAATAGACTATAGACTAGACTATACTATGAATAAGAGTATAGACTACACTATAGTACAAACTAAAAAACTTTAGTCTAGAGTCTAGACTATAGACTAAACTAGACTATAATCCATAGTATAGACTATGCTGTAAACTGCTGGAGTTTTTTAAAATTTAAATAAATTACTTATTTTGTTTCAGTTTTTTGAAAAGGAAGGCGTTGAACATAAAAAGTTAATGACACCTGGTCATGAGACTCCACCTAAATACATAGTGAAGAGGTAAGTTTCGCCAATTGTTATTTCCCGTATTCTTTAATATATTATTTTTGATTTAGATTTAATAAGATGGTTAAAGATTTTTTGGAAAATAATACCAATAATGGTAAGTACAGCTATTGGGTTACACAATTCCTTAAAGTTAACATTAAACTGTTCGCTTTCCAGATAAATTAATTGGTATTCACTGCACTCATGGGGTAAATCGTACCGGTTATTTAATATGTAACTATATGATCACACAAATGACTATGGAACCAAATGAGGCTTTAGATAGTAAGTTCAGAAATGTTATTTTTTAAATTCTTTATTTATATTACTTATTAAATAGGATTCTCAAATGCTCGAGGTCATAAGATTGAAAGAGACAACTACATTGACGCTTTGCACAAGCTATTACAAAATCCCGATGAAAAGGTACAAAATGAACATAATAATAAAAGTCACCGAGTGCAACACCGTAAATATAGCAGATCACCTAAAAACTATCGTAACAGATATGAGAATAACCGAAGACAGTCAAGATCTAGATCCCACTCACCATCAACCTTTTATGCTGATCATAATCAGAGAAATAATCATTATTCCTATCGAAACCGTATAGCAGCTGAACCTAATAGAAGACAATCAAGATCTCGATCACGTTCTCCACTACCTTTTTATGCAAATAATGATCTAAGGAATAATTATTATAATTATCCCAGATCAGCAAATGAAATACCTTACTGTCCTATGCCACAACCTCAACTAGCACCTTACTGTCCCATACCACCACCTCAACTAGTACAAAGTGTTGATGGGCAGCTACTGATTACTAATCCGGTTAACTATCAACCACCTTATCAACCGCCACGTTTAAGATTGGATTATTATAATACACGGCCCTCTAATGGCCGAGAACATAATAGAAATTTGCAACGTAATACTTCTAAACGCAATACTCATAATGTCTTTTTTTAACGTTATATAAAAGAAAAAGTTTTTATATTTTTTGGGAAAGTTGCATGTTCAAGAATTGAATTTGATTTTTATTATAAAAAAAATTGTGTTCTTTTTATTTTATAACTGAAGCCAATTTTACTTAATAAAAGTGAAAATTTTACAATGTAAAAGTATTTTTGATAAAAACATATTTTATTTTTGTGATGAATTTTATAATTTTTTATAAAAACTAAAAAAAATTATTAAAAAAAAAAAAAATTAATTTTAGTAAAATTTAAAATTTTTAAGAAAATGGAATTTTTGTAGGAAATTATACTTTGGTAGGAAAATTAAATCATAAAAAAATATTTAGAAAACAATAGAAACAATAGTCTTGTACATAGACTTGGTTATAGTCTATAGTCTTGTCTATGATCTAGTCAATAGTTTAGTCTATAGTCTGACCAATGGCCCAGTCTATAGTTTAGTTGAATAGTCTACTGTCTAGTTCATTGCCTAGTCTATAGTCTAGCATATAGCCAGTTTAGTTTATAGCATAGTCTATAGTCACGTCTATAGTCAAGTCTATAGTCTAGTCTATAGTTTAGTTTATAGCTTAGTCTATAGTATAGTTTACTGCCTAGTATATAGTCTAGTCTAGTTTATGGTATAGTCTAAAGTCTGGTTTGTAATGTAGTCTACAGTCTAGTCTATAGTCTAGCCTATATCTTAGTTTATAGTCTAGTACATAGTCGAAAACACGCGTAGCCCCCATACAAGTAGCCACCCGGAAAACAGTTTTAACTGTTTTAGAAATAGGTATAAGCAAATTTTATATAAAACAAAATAAGGATCGGCCCATAATTGACCCTACCCCCATATAAGGTCCGTTTCAGTACATAGTTTGTTAGTTAGTTAATTAGTTAGTTAGTTAGTTAGTTAGTTAGTTAGTTAGTTAGTTAGTTAGTTAGTTAGTTAGTTAGTTAGTTAGTTAGTTAGTTAGTTAGTTAGTTAGTTAGTTAGTTAGTTAGTTAGTTAGTTAGTTAGTTAGTTAGTTAGTTAGTTAGTTAGTTAGTTAGTTAGTTAGTTAGTTAGTTAGTTAGTTAGTTAGTTAGTTAGTTAGTTAGTTAGTTAGTTAGTTAGTTAGTTAGTTAGTTAGTTAGTTAGTTAGTTAGTTAGTTAGTTAGTTAGTTAGTTAGTTAGTTAGTTAGTTAGTTAGTAGTTAGTTAGTTAGTTAGTTAGTTAGTTAGTTAGTTAGTTAGTAGTTAGTTAGTTAGTTAGTTAGTTAGTTAGTTAGTTAGTTAGTTAGTTAGTTAGTTAGTTAGTTAGTTAGTTAGTTAGTTAGTTAGTTAGTTAGTTAGTTAGTTAGTTAGTTAGTTAGTTAGTTAGTTAGTTAGTTAGTTAGTTAGTTAGTTAGTTAGTTAGTTAGTTAGTTAGTTAGTTAGTTAGTTAGTTAGTTAGTTAGTTAGTTAGTTAGTTAGTTAGTTAGTTAGTTAGTTAGTTAGTTAGTTAGTTAGTTCGTTCGTTCGTTTCGTTCGTCGTTCGTTCGTTCGTTCGTTCGTTCGTTTCGTTCGTTCGTTCGTTCGTTTCGTTCGTTCGTTCGTTCGTTTCGTTCGTTTCGTTCGTTCGTTTCGTTCGTTCGTTTTCGTTCTTTCGTTTCGTTCGTTAGAGTCATCTAAAGTCTGGACTGTAGTCTATTTGTTAGTTAGGGTTGTGAAAAGCTTCATTATTTAAAAGAGCTTTTGCTTCTCTGAAGTTTTATATTAAGCTCCTTTAATTGTTATTGCTCTTTTGTTCATTATTTACGCTCTCACCTTTACACTTTCTCAATTCAAATTGAGCTCCTTTCACCATTTTCACTCATTAAGATGCTGTAATCAATCAACTTGATTTTTTTTAACACTTTTCCTTTCAATTTTATTCTTAAGCTATTAGTTTAATACAGCATTTCATTTGAAACGGTTCGGTGATCGGAAAATGTCGTGAGTGGTCATTAATTAATAAAAAAAGTGTAATAAAAAAGTGTCAGTTTTAAAATCCTTCAAATTAAAAAAGTATTTTGAATAAAATGAAATTTTAAGTGAATTTATTATAATTTCATTTTAATTAGTGAAAATAAAATAAGTCCTTTTTAATTTTTTTATAAAAAAGTTATAGGCAAAGTATTTAATAAAAAAAGTATAATAAAAGAGTAAAATCAGAAATAAAAGTGTCAGTTTTAAATAAAATCTAATATATTAAAGTCAAAAAAAAAAAAAAAAAAATAGTGTTTAAAATCAATTTTTTTAAAAATTTAAAAAAAGTTTTTAATAAAATTTGTCCTTTTTTAAAAAAAGTTAATTTTGATGTCAAATATGTATGGAAGTGTGTAATTGAAATGCAGCAGCGGCGCTGCCTTTACTCTGCCTTTCATTATTGGTTTTGTGTTAAAAAAAATTCTTTGCTTTGTATCGCATTTCGTTCGTTGTTAGTGTTTTTGCTGTAACAAATAAATCGCATCATTGAGCCTGTCCGAACAGGATCAATTGTAAAAGCAACATAACAACAACAAAATTCTTAAAGTATGTAAATGCAATTGTTTATTATTTTTATTGAAAGAGAACATTAATTAAGAGATATTGCAAAAATGTAATATTAAGAGAAACAATGCATGGGAAATACTCTATTGTTTAGTCCGTAATGTAGCCTATAGTCTATTCTATAGTATAGTCTATAGTTTAGTCTATAGTCTAGTCTATAGTATAGTCTTTAGTCTAGTTCAGTCTGCTCTGTAGTATTGTCTATAGGCTAGACTATAGTCTAGTTTATAGTCCAGTCTATAGACTAGTCTATAGTCCAGTCTCTAGGCTAGTCTAGGCTAGTCTAGGCTAGTCTATAGTCTAGACTATAGACTAGACTATAGACTAGACTATAGACTAGACTATAGACTAGACTATAGACTAGACTATAGACTAGACTATAGACTAGACTATAGACTAGACTATAGACTAGACTATAGACTAGACTATAGACTAGACTATAGACTAGACTAGTCTAGACTATAGACTAGCCTAGACTGGACTATTAACTAGAATATAGTCTATATACTATACTATAGACAAGACTATACTATAGACTAGACTATAGACAAGACTATAGACTAGACTAGTCTATAGTCTAGTCTATAGTCTAGTCTATAGTCTAGACTATAGTCTAGTCTATAGTCTAGACTATAGTCTAGTCAATAGTCTAGTCTATAGTCTAGACTATAGACTAGACTATAGACTATACTATAGACTAGACTATAGACAAGACTATAGACTAGACTAGTCTATAGTCTAGTCTATAGTCTAGTCTATAGTCTAGACTATAGTCTAGTCTATAGTCTAGACTATAGTCTAGTCTATAGTCTAGTCTATAGTCTAGACTATAGACTAGACTAGACCAGTCTATAGTCTAGTCTATAGTCTAGTCTATAGTCTAGTCTATAGTCTAGTCTATAGTCTAGTCTATAGTCTAGTCTATAGTCTAGTCTAGTCTATAGTCTAGTCTATAGTCTAGTCTATAATCTAGTCTATAGTCTAGTATATAGTCTAGTCTATAGTCCAGTCTATAGGCTAGTCTATAGTCTAGTCTATAGGCTAGTCTATAGTCTAGTCTATAGGCTAGTCTATAGTCTAGTCTATAGTCTAGTCTATAGTCCAGTCTATAGGCCAGTCTATAGGCTAGTCTATAGTCTAGTCTATAGTCTAGTCTATAGTCTAGTCTATAGTCTAGTCTATAGTCTAGTCTATTGTCTAGTCTATTGTCTAGTCTATAGTCTAGTCTATAGTCAAGTCTATAATCTAGTCTATAGTCTAGTCTATAGTCTAGTTTATAAGCTAGTCTGTAGTCTAGTCTATAGTCTAGTCTATAGTCTAGTCTATAGTCTAGTCTATAGTCTAGTCTATAGTCTAGTCTATAGTCTAGTCTATAGTCTAGTCTATAGTCTAGTCTATAGTCTAGTCTATAGTCTAGTCTATAGTCTAGTCTATAGTCTAGTCTATAGTCTAGTCTATAGTCTAGTCTATAGTCTAGTCTATAGTCTAGTCTATAGTCTAGTCTATAGTCTAGTCTATAGTCTAGTCTATAGTCTAGTCTATAGTCTAGTCTATAGTCTAGTCTATTAGTCTAGTCTATAGTCTAGTCTATAGTCTAGTCTATAGTCTAGTCTATAGTCTAGTCTATAGTCTAGTCTATAGTCTAGTCTATAGTCTAGTCTATAGTCTAGTCTATAGTCTAGTCTATAGTCTAGTCTATAGTCTAGTCTATAGTCTAGTCTATAGTCTAGTCTATAGTCTAGTCCTATAGTCTAGTCTATAGTCTAGTCTATAGTCTAGTCTATAGTCTAGTCTATAGTCTAAGTCTATAGTCCTAGTCTATAGTCTAGTCTATAGTCTAGTCTATAGTCCTAGTCTATAGTCTAGTCTATAGTCTAGTCTATAGTCTAGTCTATAGTCTAGTCTATAGTCTAGTCTATAGTCTAGTCTATAGTCTAGTCTATAGTCTAGTCTATAGTCTAGTCTATAGTCTAGTCTATAGTCTAGTCTATAGTCTAGTCTATAGTCTAGTCTATAGTCTAGTCTATAGTCTAGTCTATAGTCTAGTCTATAGTCTAGTCTATAGTCTAGTCTATAGTCTAGTCTATAGTCTAGTCTATAGTCTAGTCTATAGTCTAGTCTATAGTCTAGTCTATAGTCTAGTCTATAGTCTAGTCTATAGTCTAGTCTATAGTCTAGTCTATAGTCTAGTCTATAGTCTAGTCTATAGTCTAGTCTATAGTCTAGTCTATAGTCTAGTCTATAGTCTAGTCTATAGTCTAGTCTATAGTCTAGTCTATAGTCTAGTCTATAGTCTAGTCTTAGTATATAGTCTAGTCTATAGTCTAGTCTATAGTCTAGTCTATAGTCTAGTCTATAGTCTAGTCTATAGTCTAGTCTATAGTCTAGTCTATAGTCTAGTCTATAGTCTAGTCTATAGTCTAGTCTATAGTCTAGTCTATAGTCTAGTCTATAGTCTAGTCTATAGTCTAGTCTATAGTCTAGTTATAGTCTAGTCTATAGTCTAGTCTATAGTCTAGTCTATAGTCTAGTCTATAGTCTAGTCTATAGTCTAGTCTATAGTCTAGTCTGTAGTCTATAGTCTATTCTATAGTATAGTCTATAGTT